TCCATTTTTCGACCGATCGGTCAAGTTTTCGGTCTTGATTTCTTGACAGAAAATGTTTCTCTCGTCGTTCTTTATCACATAGTTAAAGGATATAATTTTTGGAGGAATGGTAATTATTTTACGAATTTTTGAAGTTTTTGGATCTAAGACTTCGGATGGGATTTTGGGCCACTTGGAGTTGGATTCCGGAGCCGAGCCTTTGGAACAGTAAAATCTCCTCATCGTCGGCTACATTCCCACAGAACAGTTTTTCGTTCCGCTTCCGTTGACCGGCGTTGACTTTCTAGGCCGGGGATGCATTTTGGCTACTTTTGAGGTAGGGATGCCTAAACCGTCATGTTTTGACTTTTGTTGAGTTCGTTATTTGATTTCTTGCTAAGCATGCTTAAAATGACATATATCGGGATTGAATTGTTGATTATGTGTTTACATGCTTATGTGGCAAAACATGATCTAAATGACGTTAATTGTGTATATATATGTGTTTAGTTCCAAAGTTGTTTAATGAGCATGCCTTATGTTGAATTGTTCTCTTGAGGTTATATATATATACACGATGATGATGATGATGAGTATGTATGATTAAGTTGATAAAATACAATTATGTGTATTGTCATTTTCATTCATGTATGATTCCATTCATGTCATTGGCATGACTTGGGAAAAGTGAGGTTGAAATGATTCTTGTAAAGAAATGTGATTGAAAGGGAATTGTGAGAAAATGATTTAGAAACGAACCGGGTATCGCGAGCTCGGGGCTAACTTGACCTAAAATAGGCGCGACACAGTGTAAGGCGTGGAAAAGTTGACACTAAGAGTGTTAATCCTAGCTTGATAAAGTCAGTTAGCAACTAACGTGACCTAGAGTGGCCGTGGCTCGGTGTGGGGCGTGAAAAAGTTGACATTAAGAGTGTCAATCCAAGCTCAGTAAAGTCAGTTAGCGTAGGTGGATATTTGGGGTTGGTGTGAGACCAAGCACGGGATGGTTACGCAATGTATTGTATTTCATGACATTTTGGCACCTATGATTATGACTGATTATGTGATGATAATTTTTTTAAAAAATTGAATAACGTGGATTATGATTTTGATAGTTCCCGACATCTTTTTTCCGTTCTTTGGTTGTTGGCAAAGGAGTCCAAAACCGGTAATTTAGGAATTACCTATTGAGCAGTTGAGCTCACCCCATCACATTATTACATTTTCAAGTCACGAGAAGGAAGTAGCGGATGACGTTCCTCCAAAGGTTTGAATGGATTAGTGGACTGTTTTATCATCTTTTGTATTTGTAATCTCATCTGTTTTGTATAAGCTTTGGGAAGGCATGTATATTATGTATTGACCTTAGAATTTGCCATAGTGCCCTTAGACGACCTCAGGTTTGGGTAAGGACCCAATAAACAATTCGGACCCCAGGGTTTGGGTCGTTATAGTCGCGGTATCGACAGGCAAGGAAAAACTCAGCCGTGAGCGACTGCGAGCTCGACCGGTGGAATTGATGGCCGGCGAGCAAGGAAGGGCTCGGCAATGCAGCTACGGTGAAGGCAGACAGCTCAGCCGTGGGCGACGGGCTGTGGAGAGCCGTGGGTGACAGCTGTGGAGAGCTTGGCTGTTAGCTCAGCCGTGGTTGACTCTGTGGTGATGATGATAGTGTACTGTTTGTTTGCTCCTTTTTTTTTTTCTTTTTTTTTTTCCAAATGAAAAGTAATAAAATTGTTACATTGTTGATGTAATTACAAAAAAAATTTGTGAACCTAAGGTCGTATAACGATATTGAGAGCGGTAGTGGTGGTTGAAGAAGAAGAAGACGGTGATGAGAGAAGCTAGCAGTGATGGAAGAAAGAGTCGGTGGTGGAGAAGAAAGAGAAGATGGGTATTTTTGGAAGACTAAAAGGGCAAAATGGGTATTACAATAATAATTCATGTCAGGTTTTTGACAGAGGGGTAATTTTATACAATTTTGAAAGATTAGGGGTGTTTATTGCACACTTTTTCAAATAGGGTAAAAATGCTACTCAGAGTATACTTAAGGGGTGTTTTATGCACTTACCCCTTTTATATTCCAAACACAAAAATGTGATCCGATTACAATACCTTTCAATAAGGTAGAGAGAGAATCAAATTTGGAAACACTAAGTTTGAATTTTGCAAATGTTGTGACATATGAGTTTTTTTTAGGAGTGCTAATAGCAGTCGCGCGAGCGACTGTTTACAGTCGCTGTTAGGATTGGTTAGTTTTAAATGTATTAATTACTCCATCTGTCCCAAAAATGATGTCGTGTTTGGAAAACCGTGACTCACAATTTTAGGACAGAAGTAGTACTTAAGTTTCTATTTTTATGGACTTTACAAACATGGTTTTTTTAGACAAAAATACCCTTTTAAATTATCTAGCCTTTCTTATTCTTTTCTTTTCTTCTCTTTTAATTGATTCACATGGAAATGTGTGTGCGTGTGTGTGTGTGTGTGTGTATAATAACTAGTATTATGTGAATGGATTCTGAAAAAGAAAAAAAAGATAGATGGGATAATCCATTCATTAGATTCTAAAAAAAATAAAAGGAAGGAGAAAAAAAATAGAGATTGAAAAGAATAACAAGATGGATTCTGAGATCGAATTTTTTTTTTTTTTGTTTTTTTTTATAAAAAAAACAGACAAAACAAAATTAGTTGTTATATATATGTATATATATATACATATATATATTTCTTCTTACAACTATCCTTGAGTACTATCCTCGAGTGAATGAATTTTTTCCCTTTGTTTTTTCCTTTTTTGTTTTTTCCTATATATATGTTTCTTTTTGTTTTTATTTTTTATTTTTACAACTATCCATGTATAAGTGGATTTAAAAAATAAAAAAAAAAGAATTCATTCACCCAAGATAGTTGTAAAAAGAAATATATACGTGTGCGTGTATATATATATATAAAACTAATTTTGTAACTTTTTAAAAAAATCTCGGAATCCATCTTGTTTATGGATTATTTTCTTGCTCTTTATTTATTTATTTATTTATTTACTTTTCTTTGCGGATTTTTCCGTTCAGAATCCATCTCCTGCGAATGATTTATCCTATCTGACTTTTTTTTTCTTTCTTTTTTCAGAATCCATTCGCATAACATTAGTTATTTTATATATGTATAATTTACATGCATACATTCATATATAGATAGATTAAAAGAGGAGAGAAGAAGAAAAGATAATTTAAAAGGGTAATTTTGTCTAAAAAAGTCATGTTTGTAGAGTCCATTAAAATAGAAACTTAACTAATTAATGCATTTAAAACTAACCAATCTTAACAGCTACTGTGAAAGAACAGTCGCTTGCACGTAAACAATTAAATTGGATTCAGTTGGATGGTACCAACAAAATCGAGTGCTAACTCACTGTAATTAGCCCCCCTCTCTTTTTTTTGCCCTTAATATAATGGCCATCATTTTTTCGACTTTTTTTTGTTAATATTTGGAAGAATTTAGTTATGACAATAAAATATGAAATAAAAAAACTCTCAACGAGCTTTAAATGAATGAATCGAGCAAAGATAACTTGGCTCGAATTTGATTTCGAGCTCGATGAGCGAACACAAATAAATGAGAGGAGTTCGAAGTGAGCAAAACTCAGACTAGACTCATCTGCAATCCCTAATTCATGGAGGCCCCACATCACAATCAAAAAATTTCATAAGAGTAACTGGGGTGGGGCAAAAAATAGAGAATATTTTTATAATGTAGAGAGAAGGAGAGTCGGTGCGGGTAAAATGCGGAGTAGCAAAATGGTGGACCCCATTAGTTGTTCTCTATTGCATTGTCCATAGTTGGAGAATGTTATAGAGTATTATGGGTATTCAAATAATCCGTCAATCCGCTAAACCAAACCGATTCAATTTAATTTGTGTGGTACGATTTGGTTTTCTAGTGTCGTGGTTCGGTGATGGATTGAAAAATTAGTAATCCGTAGTGACCAGATCGGTTAATGGATTAGGTGCTGAAAAAACCGAACTGATCTGTGACCAATCCGTATCACTAATATACATATATTATATAATATATATAGTATATAGTAAATGCATAATACATTATTGATACAGTATTTTTGTTTTCTTTAAGTGTTAAGTTTTCAAAAGTTTTATTATTTTAGGAACCCAAGATGCTTTACTGCTTACACCTTTTAGTTCTTATTTTCCTTTCATTTGCATGCATATCTAGCCTCCCATCAAGTCTCATCTAAGCCCGCAAACCCACTGCTTTGCTCACACTCTCTTATGGAACCCAAACAAGTAAGCATCTCCAATTTACATCGGCCGATCATTTCCTCTTCATCTACATCTAATTTCCAGTGAGTTCATAAGTTTTTCATTATTTTCTTCTATGAATTTTTGTTCTTCTCTTCTAGAAAAAAAAATCTTGATTGCTCCATCTCGTCACCTAGTTTCAATTCTACCTTGTCATTTTCATAGCCCATTTATTAATATGTATAGTCTTTAGAAATTCATGCATGACTCAGACGAAAATAAAAATTTTGCCTCTAATTTCAATTTTCTTAATTGTGTTCTGTGAAACCCAATTCGTGGGAACTGAACCAAACCAATCCGTTATATCACGAATCGATTTGGTTCGGTTTGAGGGTCCCCACAGATCGGTTCGGTTTCAGATTTAACCAATCCGTGAGGACCAAATTGGTTTGAATTTTACTCAAAACCAAATCAATTCGTGATCCTCCCTAAGAGTATATCCATCCTTTTTGACACAATTGTTTAATCATTGGTCGTCCTTGTTTTATCTTTTTCTCTCACATTACTTCTAAATTAATTATATATTAATAAAGTAAACAGTATAATATAATCTAAAATACATATTATCTGTTTACTTTATTAAAATATGCCTGTTTAGTAGTTTACTATTTTAAAAGTAGATAGATAGTATGCTTATTGCATATTCGGCGTTTGTAATGTACTACTGATTTTACAAACACACACTGCTTCACCTATGAGCTTCTTGCTTTTCATATTCATCTCAACAAATATCCACCAAATTTGTAATTTATATTTTAGTTGATGGTGAGGTCTACAAAGCAACTTTATTTATTGCAGAAGTCTCAAAACTGCTATGATTTCTGCCGTTGGAAAGACTGTCAAGCAATTGCTTCATCATAGAAGCTGTAGTAAAAATGAAAAAAAAAAAATCATACAAGGCATTTCAACCTGAAAATATTATCACAAAATTTGTATGTATATATATATAAAGAGGGTATAAAACCTTCCAAACCAATCCTAATAGAGGAATGTACGCCCAAGAACAGGATTGGTTCTCCATCTTCTAAGTTCATAGGACATGGATCAGATCTCAAACTGGAACAAAATCTTTTAAATTCCAGAAAAAGAAGATATGCAAAGGCTATAAACTCATTGGGGTCAAACACTACATGATCTGGAAGCATTCTTTGTTTGCACTGAGTAGTCTTGTTTATCGTCAGCACTCCAAACAGGATGAAAATCCGACATTTTTACCGTTGACATTGTTGATAAATGAAAATATATTACATGAATGGAAGTCACACATCCACAACTCCTTCCCATTTCCCTTTTTGGAACGATCAACAGGAGAGCTATAAGAACTTGTCGAAACAGGTTCTCCGTACCACAGATTTTATGCCAAGGGTGATAAAGCTGGCTTCTGCATTGACAATGTAGCGGAGGGTCAGATCAAGTACTCATGGAGCAAAGTTGCTACTTGCTAACAACAGGAAAAATGAAACACACACACACACACACATGTATATAAAGTGTATGGTTCAAGTGTCATTTATAAGAGAATTTCTGTCACAAGAACACTAAAAAATTACAAGTTGGTTGGTCTAGAATGTCTTTTGTGGACCTCAAGGTTAACAATTCAGCAAACAGCTATTCATAGCCACTCACTCTAAATACCATCATGTCTAAGCCACAAGTAAGTCACTTTTAATTTAATTCTATTTTTAACAGGGACCAAGCGCCTTCACTGCAGCGTGGTGCCCTGCAAAAAGAACAGGCTTGCAATTGCAAAATTTACAGGAGCCAAAGCCAAACCCTGCAGACGGCCACTTTCTATTCACAAAAACACTTTTTCACAAACAGATCATGAACAAACCTTAGTAACATCCTTGAAATATGTTCCAGTTATAATGAATGTAGCCATGTTCCTGTCCTCATTCATTTATGAACTTTCCTTTTAAAACCAACATGACAAGTGTCCCAAATTAACTTCCCAAGTTTTTAGCAAATCAGTTAACCTCAATTTGATGGCCACGTAATTGGGAGGTTTTGTGTATATCACCTACCTTATCCATCATTCATATTCTGGCTTCCTTCGGGCTCACACAAGGCCTGTTACATGGCTGAATTAAAATGGCCAACTATACCCATTATTCGGCAGAATTAAAATGGCCACTTGTCCCTATTTCAATTCTGCCAGGTGTAATCCTCCGGCATATGCAATGTGTCACCACACTATGGGGCCATAATTTGGCCCACTTTTCTCTCTTTCATTTGTCCACGTGGACGCCAAAGTGACAGCCACTTAAGCTGCCATTTTTGTGTGTCAACAATTACATTATTGTTTAATAGGGCTAAATAGTAAGAAACAATATGGTTGATACTATATAAGAGAACTTGATTAGCACCATAGCATTCATCATGACATAACCAATGATAACTCTCTTACTGTGTAATATCCAACAATCACCATTAACTATGTCATCACTAATCACCTTCTAAGGCTAAGCCTAAGCAACTTGATGCGCCACATTTCCAATTATTTCCTTTCGTCGCTTTGCTAATTACCCATTTTAACCTTCTTCGACCTAGCATTAATGAACCTAAAACACATTGTTGTGGTTAACCAATGGTACTGATTTCCTGAGCTAGTCAGTAGCAATTCCATTTATGAGGATTCTGTCTGTATGCTTCCTTGCCCCCATGCACGCCACAGGGATAGGGATGAGCTAGCCACCCAGGCTTCTGTCTTTTGTTTGTTGGTTATATGGTATTACTATCACCAACCAAAATTTACAACCCCAGGCATTTTAACCTTGCACCTCAACCAGCTTAGCACTTCATAAGGGTGCATGTCATTCCATATTGTTATTTCTGCAAGAAAGCAAGGAAACAAGATGGGATCTTTGCTTTCACAGAAGTGTGAGTAGGCTTGAAACCCCAAGTAAATTGATGATTGGATGATGCATTCATTTACAGTGGAGGCATACCAGAAATTCCCCCTTTCACGTTGATTTACAGTGAATGAACCCTTTCGTATTCATTTGACTTGAGGCAAAAGAGAAGTCATATAAAGAAAGGTTCTTTCATGCAACACATAACGGGAGGGCCTCCTATGGATTCCTCCAACTCAATGAATGAAGGGAGAAGTATGAGGACGCCGGCTTTCTATATGAAGATTCAAACAAAAAGGAAACAATGAAGCTCAATTGAGAGTCAGCTTTAACCAATTCAAGCCAATGCTAGTCAATTCCAACCAAATGAGTTTCAAGAATAAGATATGAAATAAAAACAGAACCAAGTAGGGATTTATTAAAGCACAATCAGCAATATGTACGCATATAGACTCATAAACTATTTTTCCAACACCAATGTATACTGCAAGGCATGAGAAACAACAATAACATGGAAAGCCAAGAACTGACAAGATTGGGTGAATTTTGTATTTGACAGGACATAACTCACCTCAACCGCACAATAGGATGCTCCATGAGAGAAGAAGAAAGGAAAATCTGAACTAATCTCGCTTGACCACTCTTGGAGTTCCTTTCAGTGGCAAGACAACCACAGAATTGATTTGTGGCCCATAGAGCGTTGTAGCGTTATTGCTTCCACCACCAAGCCCAGCCCCCGTAGGTACCTGTTTATCAAGATGAATCTGCCATGGATTTAAAACGTGAATAAACAGTAAGGTTCAATATACAATATTCATCTCAATTACACTACCAAATTCATAAATTCATCACAATTGTTCTAGGTTTTACCCAAAATTAGTTTCACTTCCAGTCTTTTTCCTGTAAAGATTAAGGGATTTGATTATCTGCAGAGGTTGCAAAACCACGAGCCTCGCACGATAAAGAAAATAAAACATATAAGACAAATAAAGGAACAGAGGAGCTTGTGCCTTTACCAAATTTCGGTCATCAAGGGGAACTCCAGGCACATTGGTTGACAATCGATCCTTAGGTTTTGATGAGGCCAAAGAGAATCTAATTTTGTCTCCCAAACTTATTACCTGGAAGTGTAAAGTGGGTCATTAAAGTCTATTTTGAATAATAGAAGAAATTAAAACAAAAAATTTCCTATCTTATTTAGAATTTTCAACAAATTTCTTGTTCTACTTCTTTAAATTTTATAATTGTAGTTCAAAAGTAAAATTTTAGAGAAACTAACTACCAGTGAAAGAACTTACATGAAAGAAAGATGCCAAATCAAGAAACCCATCTTCCCTCTTGCTGGTTATTCATTAAAAAAAAAATTAATCTGCACCACTTAGAATAAAAATAAAAACCCAACCAAAAAAAAAAAAGGTTCATCAATTTCAATACCCAAAAGCAAAAGACTGATCTGCTTACCTTGCAAGGTGAAAACAGAGTGAGTCCTGAAAGTCCAGCATTCTTATCCCCTTCATCAGCTAATTTATTCAGTCTTTCATCTAGGTCATACACTATCTAATAGCCCCACCAACAAAAAACAAAAATAGTAATAAAAAATAAAAATAAAAACCCAAATTTTTTGATTCACTAACAATAATAACAGAAGGAATAAATGTACCTCTAATTGTTTTCTGCCAGTTTGTGGATCAGAAGCCATGCCTTTGATCAATTGGGTACTTCGAAATTGAGTTTTTTTTTTTTTTTCAAAAGAACATGAACCATGTGGCTTATATGAAGAACATAGACATTTTCTTGAAAATTTGTGTTCGTTTCTGCTATTGAGGGGAGTGTAGAGGTGTTGACTGCAGAGGAAATGGGAGGAAGCCATGGCTGCTGGAGTGTGTGATGTTATTGTAGACTTACATGCCATGGAAAAAGAATCAATTTGAAGGCAGGTGGAGGAGGAAGGCCACAACCTCAAGCTCAACCTGTATGTGTTTCATGTTTATATTATTTATTATTTTCTCAGTAGGTATGCGACCATGTGTATACATATATATTATTTATAGTGTTTGAAATAAGTGTATATACTGCATATATATATCGAACAGCTTTGCTCAAGTGGTATACATATTCTGTCTTTTCTAATTTTGAGTTCCTAAAACAAATGTGTGGGTATGTAATTTGCATAGTGAAAGAAAAATAAAATAGATGACGATAAGATGACATCATGTGCAAGAATTCTGATAACCTGTGTGAACTGTGAAGTGATCAGGGTCCTTTATGCTGTACAAAACATATAGACTCGTCGTATGTTTTAAGTGTCAAAACTGCTATGCTTGGTGCTGTTGGAAAGACTGTCCAGAATTTTCTTAATTAGATTTAAATTTTTACTCACATATCAAAAAAAAAAAAAAAAAAAAAAAAACCTAAGCACATGCAATTATATCTTATCCTTCTCTTTCCATTCTGCTTACTTTGTCACAATCTTCTTCACATACTTGTTAACTCTTTTATAGGCTTTGTCTGAATACAAACACCATTTTTTTTTAGTTAAAGTGAATACAAACACCATATTTTATAACTATTGCATCAAATAAATTTCATTGCATAACAACAATAACAATAATAACAAAGATAATTACCAAAAAAAAATACACTTATGAATCATCATATTCTTGCAATTAACCCTTCACAAGACAAAAAAAAAAGGTGAAGTTTACAAGTTAGGCCATAGCATTAGTTTGCAGTCACTAACAAATTATGTTGTCTTGGATAAGTTATACATTATAGTATGGCCTTCCAATAACATTGTGCCATTTTTTTTTTTAATAAAAAAGGAAACAAAACATATATATATATATATATATATAAAATAAAATAAAAACCTGGTATGATTTCTAAGACCCGCCCCATTTCATCATCTTCTTTTTCCTCTTCTACATATAAAAAGCCTTCTAATACATACACAAACACACCCTTACATGCTTAACAATGGCAACAAATTTTGCTAGATAAACGATACTCCGATGAAAAGTCAAGTTTTTTTAAGTTTATAGCAAGGTCAATCTCATGGATCTAAGGATAATACAGAAATTAAGACAAAAGGTGCAGATATTGCAAAGTACATTACATTCACATTGCCAGCCTTCCTATTCTTCTTTGCTTGCTTTAGCTTCTTAATTGATGCTCCTCGATGCTCCCTCTCCAACCTTTTCAGTTAGGGCATTACTATTTACATTATATGCTTGGCCCATTAGGTCTTCCACTTCATTTTTTCCTCCCAAGTAAAACCATGCTTTCCACGTAAGTATACAAATGAAACGAAGATCGATGCCCACGGATTCCGGTATCCACCACTTCTTTGGTCTCGGGATCATATGAAACCAGCCTTCCATTACGCTTTTCCACTAAAACTTCGCCCGTTTTCCTAAATCCTAAAACCTGGCATATTCCTCCTATATCAACAGTGCACAATTTGGTCCAAGAACTTGCCACGCCATATTCTTTCATCACCCATATGCAACAATGAATACTTGTGCTACTAAAACCATCATCATAACAGAACAGAGAAAGAGATTCCCCAAAAAGTGCAATGGACACCTTCAGCTCACAGCCATTAGCAATGCCGCTGGGAAGCATCATCTCCGTAAATACCTCAGTACCCATATCAAATGACAAAATCAAGTACCAAATTTTGTTCCACAACCCAACGCTGCCGTTCAAAGCAATCCAATGTGAAGCCCCATTCACAAAAACATGTGACCATTGACACAGAATGATGTGACACGGAGGAGGAGGAGCAGAACCAATGCCTCTTCTCCATCTTCTCCAGATACCTGTACTAAGCTCATAAACATCAACCTCGGGCCGAACTGAATAATCAAACGACGAGTCATGAACATAAACAAGTCTCACAACCTTGTAGTCATTAGTCCGAGAATCGAACCCAAACCCAAAAGCACACCCTTTGGAGTTTGATTCAATACGAAGTGTGACGGACTTGTCAATGGCGGGGTTCCACAGAATGATAATCTCTGTAGGACCATCACTGTCGTACAGGCAAATTAACCCATTACATGAACCCAGTATTCTGAAGTAAGAGATTGGGGAGTGATCAAAAGCGGAGTCAAGTGGCCTACACTGGACAAATGTTTCGTCGTCGCAGTGTACTGTGTAGTGCTCTTTGTTGTCAATGCAGTACCTAAGGAGCAGTAATGGAGGGGTGTTGTGTGCAAGGGTTCGATTGACGTGTTGGATGAAATTAGGGCTAGTGATTAGAGCGTACCATGATTTGCAAGCGCACCTGATTTGCAGAAGAGTCTTGATCGGCAGTCTTGTGAAGATATCGGTCAGGACTTCTTCAGGGAGATAGTCCGACATTGTTGAACCTCTCTCACTCTCTGATAATAGTAAAACCCTAGAATTTGAGAACTTGGAAGCTCTGCTCAAATGAGTGCAGACAAATCCCATTTTTTCATTTAAGAAGCATTAACAACCATTTTATTAAGATTTTTTTTTCTATTTAATTAACTTTTTTGTTTTGGGGAAAGGAATCTATGAGGTACGAAAAATATTTTACTAACGGAGCCCGTATTCATATGTAATGTAGAAATGTATTTGTAACCCCGTGGGGGCATAGTTAGGTGTTATAACGGTATTTGTAGGATATTTTTTTAGGATCGAAAAAATGATATAAATAGGTGAATATATAGTATTATTCAATAACTTAAATTTTTTTATAAATGAGTAAGAGTCCTGGTGAACCATCCGGATAGGCAAGGTGACCCGACCGTAATAAAAGCATTACGAATTTAGGTGGAAAAGAATGTTACGATGAGTATTTGTCAATTTGAATTAAACATGAAAGAAGTATAAATGAATTAGTATGTGACATTATCCAATAACTTAAACTATCCGTTACATTAAGAACTTATGAATTTCACGCCACATGTTCAACCAAAAAAAAATCACCAAATTTGTAATTTAGGTCTTAGTTATAATTGTTTATAACTAAATTTAGATCTTATCACGTTTTCTTTTTAATACTTACTAGACAATAAATGTAAGACTCGTGGCAAAAAAAGTATTAAATTAAGATTACTTGACATAATAAAAACAAAATCATTAAGATTTTATTAGGTTTTGATCCGATAATTGGGCCACAAAACCATTTAAGAAATTATATCTATATATAATCGAGCGGTACTATGCAGCCCGATTACTATTCACCCGACACTTATCGACTGTCATACGTGGCTGTCAACGTGGCAAATTTTTTTTTTCTTTTTTTGTCGAACCGATGCCCCTTCTCGCTCCCTCCTCTCTTTCTCTCTTTAACAATCAACAATGAATGTACCAAACATTCCACGACCACCGGTGAACCCATCTTCTCCGTCAAAACTATCTTTATCTCTCCATAAACTCTCTCTCTCTGAAACCAGTACCTGAAACAGAAACCCATTTTCATTGTTAGAAAAAAAAAATAAAAAATAAAAAATAAAAATTACAGAGACCCATTTAGTTTCTCAAACAGTTGATGAAATTGGGGTGATCGATCTAGGAGAGAGAGTTGCCTGAACCTTACTTCCATCAACCAAAAAATCTGATTCTTCTTTATCTAATGAGTAATGAAAAATAGCAACTTTTTCCTAATAGCGTTACGAGTAAATCTAATGAGGTAGGCAACTCTAGAGTGAGAGAGGGGAGAGAGAAAGAGGCGGGCCGGTTGGAAAAACAAAAAGATGGACCAGTCGCCGACAGTGACCAATTCTGATGAACCCATCTGAGCAAGAGGGGAAAGTATTGTGCGCGAATAACACCGTCGATTCCTTGGGTAGCCCTAACTCTTCCTCCAGACCATCCATCGGCAAAGAGGTGAGAGGATTGAAAGAGAGATGAGAGAATAAAGCGGAGACGAAGAAAGGGGAAGCGACCTCACCAGTTGGACCAATCTAGTATTGACACATGCTGTGGATTTTTTTGAGTGAATATTAGACGTCAAAATTAGCATTTTTCTATATAATCATACGTAACATTTCAACCTGAAAATATTATCAAAAAAATTGTGAAAACTCCTGTATAAAACCTTCCAAATCGGGCATTATCCAATGACCTAATTTGTAAAACGTCTAGCTTCCTGCGGGTGTGCTCCTATTCAAGTCCCCCTCTCACCTAGTTTGGCAAGAGATAAAAAAAAAAAAAAAAAAAAAAAATCCCCTTCCAAACTCCTCCTAACAGAGGCTTGCATACCCCAAAGAAACGGAGGTCGATTTTTCCTCCCTATACTTCATAGCACATGAATTAGTCTCAAGAGCTACCAACTACTAACCCAATATTCTGGACCAGCTCAAATACATGATCTGGAAGCATTCTTTCTTAATCAGAAACCGTAAGAACCTAGGCCCTAAAAGATGAAAACACAAAGGGTGACAAGTTCCAGGTGCTCTTTTTTTAAATAAAAAAAAAAAAAAATTCAGTTGACCCTATTCTTTGCATAGATTAGTCTTATTTAGTTTTTTACGGTCAGTATGAAAATAGGACATTTTTACTATTGACATTTGTTCGGCTCGCGGAAAAGCGCTAGTTCCGCTTTCCAGTTGAGTGGAAAGTAGGAGTGGATGTCGGGCATGCCAGGAACTACTGTCGTTCCAAAGTGAGTATCCGAACAACTATCCAATAAGAAATTGCAGGGATCAGGCGATTAAATAAAGGACTGGAATTACCACCTTCAAGGGTTCTTTTTGCCTTGAAAAAGGACTTTCGAACTGAACTATGGCTAGTGGAAAGGAAAGCGGTATTGAAAGTGCAGGACTTCAAAGTAAAGTGCTGGAAGTAGGAATAATAAGTGCAGGACTTGAATTAAACATATTGAAATTGCATTACATGAATGTAAAGATACATGAATGTAAGGAATTGAAGTGCTGTTTTGCTGTGTGATTTGAACAGGATTTGTAAGTGAAGCCTAAATGTTCTATTTATAGAGCTTTCCATGCATGCATTAACTAGGTGTGGCAACTTCAGCAGTTTCCACCTGGAATGGTTCCAGACTGCCACATGTCCCATGATTCCTCAATGGTTGTAACTTCTCCCATCTTATCCATCTTCTATTATAGACTTCAACCACGTCCTCTCTAGTCTTCAACGAATTTGCGTCATGGGTAGTTTCAGAATGAATTCCCACGTGTTCTCTTCGTGACTTGGCAAGTGTCCCATGATTTTATTCTTCTTCCTCACGTCGTCAACTCCTTTCCTTAATTTCAGACACGATTTCATCAACTGCTGCCCTGTCACCCATGACCCTTGAGAACTTCCCTTGGTTAGTGGTAGTTTCCTTATAGGTTTCCACCACTTTCAACCGATATATTCCTGTTTAGCCAAGTGTCCCATGATTTCTAGTAATCTTTCACTTCTGCTAGAACCTTCTTTTCATGACGTCGTGGTTTCTGACTTCTGATAAAACTCCTCATCGTGCATAACTTCCATCTTGAGACTTTCCTTCTGAAGTTTGGAGTTCATGGTGCCATGACCTCCTTAATTTTAGCAACTCCTCCATCGTGGGTAGTTTCCCATAGTATATTTGTACACATCTATATTTCTCCAACCTACCTCCCTTTCTTCTGTAGACCACGGTTTCCTTGATTTTAGGCTGAACCTTCTATGGCGTCATGGTCACCGAGTTTACATCGTGGGCGGGTGCGAGAGACACTGTCAGGCTATCACACTGGCGAGCTACGGGTGCACAGTACCACATCACCTGGGTAGAGGAAAGGTAAAGTGATTATATGTAAGTGTGTCATCTCCAATTGGTATGAGGCCTTTTGGGGTGAAGCCCAAGAGCAAAACCGTGCGGGCTTAGGCCCAAAGCGGACAATATCATACCATGTGGTGGAGTGGGTCGTTACAAATGGTATCAGAGCCTGACCCAGCTGGAAGTGTGCCGACGGGGACGTCGGGCCTCCAAGGGGGGTGGATTGTGATGACCCTGTGGGCGGGTGTGCCGTGGGCGGGTGCGAGAGACACTGTCAGGCTACCACACTGGCGAGCTACGGGTGCACAGTCCCACATCGCTTGGGGAGAAGAAAGGTGAAGTGCTTATATGTAAGTGTGTCATCTCCAATTGGTATGAGGCCTTTTGGGGTGAAGCCCAAGAGCAAAACCGTGCGGGCTCAGGCCCAAAGCGGACAATATCATACCATGTGGTGGAGTGGGTCGTTATAGTTATGGTTGTTGCTCTCTTCCATAATTTTAACAACTTCTCTTCAACCTTGACTTCCTCTGGATTTAGACCTCATGGCTTCATGGACTCCCTTTTTACGGTGATTCCTTCATCATGGGTTTAAGCCTAATATATATATATATATATATATATATATATATATATATATATATATATAAAGAAATAAATTAAATCCCACGTCTAGCTAAATTTTAGCAACAGAAGTTGACTTGGCTGAACCATTGTTGAAATCTCCTAAAAATAAGGAAAAGGTTGCCTTCACGTCCCCATGACTTAGTCAACTTTTATTTAATTGGTATCCTACTAAAATAGGATCTTCCAAATAAATTCAATTTTAACAAAATTAATCCATCGTGGCAAGTTTAATAAAGCTCGCCATGTGTCGATATATTATTGGTTGGCTAACTTTAGCCTTCTTATGAGATTGTACTCATGATAATAACTCCACGCCATTTTCTTTTCCTTTTAGGACATTATATCCTAAATTTGGTAAGTCCTAAAAGGACTCGCCACTTGTCTTTTAATTTCCATAATTTAAATATTCTAAGGTGGAATATTTATCAATATTGTACTCTAACATGGCAAGTTCCATTAGAACTTGCCATGTACCTCTTTTCTATTTAAGGAACCATATTAACAATTCCATGTCACACCCTATTTTCCTTGGACAATTAGAACATTAAATAATATGGTAAGCTTTGTCAAAACTCACCACTTGTCTCTTTTCCATTGGGTAAAATAATGGAATAAACATATGCCTCCCAAATTCCATGCCTTGTAGAACAACTTGAAAAATAAGGCGTGAGATTTGATTTCCGCCATCAGAATAGCATCATGGTCGCTTGATTTTCCAGCCCTAACCACAACTAATTTCTCGGCTTCCATTATATTAATTTCCTTTAATCACCAATCTCCTAGATGTCGTGTGCCCCTAAAAGACCTATTCGCTACTTCCCATAAAAATCTCTTTACTTTCCTTTTTTGAATTTCGAAATTCCAACTGAAACCCTTCCAATAGCACCCTTAGGTTTTTTTGAACACTCAAGACAATCATTAAAAGAAAACACGTAGCTGCTCCCCTTGTATTTTTTGATAATATCTCCAATCACTAATTTTCGTATCTTCAAGGAAATCCTAACCATTTATGGCATAGAGCCTTCAACCTTCTCAATCCTCATTATTTCCTTTTCCTTTTGAAAGTCCTCCTCTAACTACCCCTCCTGAAAAGGCGTCCTTGAACTTTAAAAGATTTCACCGTAAACGAATAAAATCTTCCACGTGTTATTCGGCTGGTCTCTTGATCCTACCACGTTAATCTTTCCAGCCGCCAAGCACATTCTGTCTCCCAATAAACCACTCATCCATTTATTACACCATCTAGCTTCCAAAACCTTTTAAGACTTCCTTTTGAATTTTTA